ACTTCTCCGAGGCTCAGCTTTGTCACATAGAAGATGAAGAAGCTGGAATAGGGGATCACAGAGACCCCTTCTAGCATTCTACCACTCTCCTTCCAGGTCCTTCCCCTTACCATTCTGCACTGGTTAGAAGAATGAAGCCTAGGTTTTGAGGTGGTACCTTTCTCTTCTTGACAGATTGGCATATCCAGGGCACTAATCACTGTCCTTAGAATCAAGAAGACATAGGTTCAAGTCTCACTGTTGACACATAATGGCGCTTAACCTCTCAGTACCCTACCAAATCTCTAAGACTATAAGATATATTGAAGGTGTTCACCTGAATTGGTGGAGGGAGTTTTCTCATGCAGGATTTCCCTATATCAATGAAATCGTGGGTCCAATTCCTATTCATACCCTTTATCTACTTCTTAAACAAACAACCTGATTTGTAGGGGCCTCCTGTAGACCTTCTTCCCATTTGACAAAGAAGGCAGGGTGTGGCTGGAGAAGGACAATGACCTGAGGTAATACATATCTGGGGCCACCCAGATCATACTCCGCCTTATTTATCTCTCTGGTCCCTGAGCTATATCAGTGAGCTAGATTTAGAATTAGTTGACTGGCCAGACTCAAAGAGCAGACACTAATGGTTCAATGTCAACTTGGAAGGAGGTCTCCAGTGGACTACATCAGGGGTTGGTACTTGATGCTGTGTTGTTTAACAATTTTATCAATATCTTGGATAAAAGCCCATTCTAAGGTTCAACCAAACCAGCTTTCTGTCTGCTTCTCATATGCAACATCCTATCTCCCATCTCCGTGACTTTGCATTGGCTATCTTCCATGCTTAGAATTCTCTCCTTCCTTACCTCATAAAATCCCTCACTTTCCCCAAGACCTCGAATCAAACACAATGTATTACTCAGCATCTTTCCTGATGGCCACACCTGCTAGTATATTCTTTCCCTAATTACCTTATATTTATTTATTCTGTATATACTTAGAAATGTATACGTTGTCTCCTCCTTGTCAGTTCCTTGAGATTATTTTTGTGTTGGTGTCCCCATTTCTTAGAACAGTGTCTGACACACAGTAGATACTTAATTGATACATGTTTATTGATACAAAGTTGGAGGAGATAGCTAACACAGATGATAGTCAGAATCCAAAATAACTTGACAGGTTAGAATGTTGGGCTGAGTCTAATAAAATGAAATTTAATAAGGATAAATGTAAATTTTTACATTTGGCTTTAAAAAAAATCAGCTGCAGAAGGACAAGATGGAGAAGGCAAGGCTAGATGGTAGTTTGCTGAAAAAGACTAGTGGGGGGATGTTATTGGATTACAAGCTCAGCATAAGCTAACAATTTTTTAAAATATTTTTTATGGTAATTTTTATTTAATTTTTTTTGTTTTCAACATTTACTTCCACAAGATTTTGAGTTCCAAATTTTCACCCCATCTCACCCCTCCCCCCACCCCAAGATGGCATGCATTCTAAATACCTCTTCCCCTAGTCTGCCTTCCCTTCTATCTCTCCTCCCCTTCTCTTACCCCCTTCCCCTTCAATTTTCCTGTAGGGCAGGATGGATTGCTGTACCCCATTTCCTGTATTTCTTATTTCCCAGTTGCATGTGAAAACATTTTTTTTAAAACATGTGTTTTTAAAACTTTGGGTTCCAAATTTTCTCCCTTCCTCCCTCCCCACCCACCCTCATTGATAAGGCAAGCAACTAAATATAGGTTATGTATGTGCAGTTATGCAAAACACTTCCATAGTAGACATGCTGTGAAAAACTAGCTCTATTTCCCTTAATCCTATCCCACCCCCCCATTTATTCTATTCTTTATTTTGACCCTGTCCCTCCTCAGAAGTATTTGCTTCTGATTACCCCCTTTCCCAATCTGCCCTCCTCTCTATCATTCCCCTACTCTCTTGTCCCCTTCCCCCCCTATTTTCCTGTAGGGTAAGACAGATTTCCACACCCAATTGAGTGTGTATGTTATTGCCTCCTTAAGTCAAATCCTATGAGAATATGATTCACTCATTCCCTCTCACCTTCACCCATTTCCCCTCCACTGTAAGAGCCTTTCCTTTTCTGTTTTTTTTTTTTGTGGGAAAATTTACCCCGTTTTACCTCTCCCTTTCTCCTTCTCCTATTATAATCTTCTCTCACCCCTTATTTTATTCTCCAGATATGACCCCTTCATTTCCAACTCACCCTGTGCCCTCTACCTATTTTTCTATATCTCTATATACATACATATAATTTTTTCCCATCCAACTACCCTAATACTGACAAAGGTCTCATGGGTTACAAATATCATCTTTCCATGCAGGAATGTAAACAGTTCAACCTTAATAAGTCTCTTATGATTTCTCTTTCCTGTTTACCTCTTCATGTTCCACTTGCGTCTTGTATTTGAAAATCAAATTTTCTCTTCAACTCTGGTCTTTTCATCAAGAATGCTTGAAAGTCCTCTATTTCACTGAATGACCATTTCTTCCCCCTGCAGGATTATACTCAGTTTTGCTGGGTAGGTGATTCTTGGTTGCAATCCTAGCCCCTCTCTCATCGCAGTCACAGACTTTTCCCACTGACCTTCTAAGTTGTCTTTGGCGTTCGTGGGTTGAGAAGTCTGGAAACTGCCGCAGCTGCCCACGATTCAGTCTTCTGAGGCTTGCTCCAGGGTCGCTGTGGCCTGCGTACCCACACTGAACTGAGCTCCTCTCTCCGCCTGGCACGATATGCCTTTCTGATCAACCCTCCAGGCAGTCTTTGGCTGGAAATTTGTTTCACTCTGTCTTTTTGTGGGTTCTGCTGCTTTAGAATTTGTTTAGAGCCATTTTTTTAGGTATTTGGAGGGCTTTGGGAGAGAGCTCAAGACAGTCACTGTTTTCCCGCCGCCATCTTGGCTCATGAGCTAACAATTTGATGACAGATAAGAAAAACTAATGTGATCTTGGGGTAGCCGGATGTCACAGTAGATTAGAACACTGGGCTTGGAATTGGGAAGACTCATTCTCATGAGTTTAAATCCAGCCTCAGACACTTACTAGCTGTGTGACCCTGGGTAAGTCACTTAACCCTGTTTGCCTCAATTTACTCATCTGTAAAATGAGCTGGAAGAGGAAATGGCAAACCACCCCAGTATCTTTGCCAACAAAACCCCAAATGGGGTCACAGAGAGTTGGATATGACTTGAACAACAACAAATGTGATCTTAGTCTGAATTGAGAAATATAGTTTCTAAAAATAAGGTGACAGTCTCTCTATACTTTGCCCTGTCAGACCCTCATTTGGAGCATTGTGCTCTTTTCTGGGTCCTGAACGTCAGAAAGGACCTTGTAAGCCAGAGAATCTCTTGAGGAAAGGAACCAGGTAATGACTAGTTCATCTCAGGTTGAGAATCAGTTGCAAGAAATTATGGCTGTTTTTTAGCCCAGAGAAGAGACTATTTAGTGTCGGATACGTTGGAATGGAGGATGATAATCTGTCCTCAATCATTTGAAGAGCTATTGCACGAAGAGAGATTAGATTTGCTTTGATTTGGCCACAGGGCGAAGAACCAGGAACCCAGTGGAAGGTGCAAAGAGACAAATTTAGGCTAGATATAAGGAAAAACTTCCTGACAATTAGATCTGTCCAAAAGTTGAATGGACAACCTCGGGAGGTAGTGAATTTCCCCTCCCTGGAGGTTTTAAAACAAAATCTGGCTTACTACTTGTTAGGGAAAGGATTATTGGCTAGATCAATCAGTCAATCAACATATGTGCAAAGCACCTACTATGTACAGGCAATGTCTTAGGTTCTGGGACTACTAGGACCAAGGTGAAAACAATCCCTGTCCTCAAGGAGCTTACATTCATATTGGAAGAGGCAGCATATACATCAATTAGTGCATACAGACTACATTCAAAATAAATAAAAGGTAGTGGGAGTGAGAGTTAGAGGGCTGAGGAAGGCTTGGTGACCAAAGCAGAAACAAGGAATTCTAAGCAGCAGAGGTGAGGATGACCTCAGAGGTCCCTTCCATGTGTGAAATGCTGTGATTTGGGGATCGTATCCTGTAGCCTGGCTTGATTAAATCTGTTCTATAATTAATATAAAACATTTTATTTATTGAACAGCATTTATTAAACATATAATGTGCAGGCCAGGTGCTGGTTAACTATGACCTCTGTCCCACAATGTCATAATAATGCCTTATATTTATAGGAGTGCCTTTCATTTTTTCAAAGTACTTTCACATCTATGAAGTTATTCCTACTATATCCTGGTGAGATAGTCAGGGCTGATAGTCTGTCGCTTATGCAGGTGAGAAGTCCAGAGAGACACCTTATCCAAATGAACACCTTAGATCTACCTTAGAGCCTGGGGTTTACCAAAGAGCTAGAAGGACCTGGGAAATCATTTGTTCCTACTGCCTCACTTTATAGGTGAGGAAACTGAGACCCAGAGTAGAAGTGACTTTTTCAGGATCATATATGGCAGGAGGCAGAGCCAAGGAGTCCCTTTTACCAGATAACCCCATTGTCCTTCTGTCCTCAACTTTTTCTTCCTCATATTCAAGTAAGTGATGATGAAGGGAGATTTGTTTCTCTACTCTTTATCTTTCTGCTCTTACTATCTGCATCTTTTCTCCAGGGTTATATTTATATCATCATATCATCATCTATATAGTGTCTTAAGGTTTGCAAAGTACTTTATAAATACAATCTCATTTGATTCTTACAACAACTTTGGGATGTAGGTGCTATTATTATCCCCATTTTACAGATAAGGAAACTGAGGCATTCAGTGGTTAAGTGATTTGCCCAGGGTTACAGCTAAGTAAGTATCTGAGGTCAGATTTAAAGTTAGGTCTTCCTGACTCCAAGTTCTATCCACTGCACCACCCAGATGTGCTATGTGTATCTATATAGAACCAAATATGGCCTCCTCGAGTACTTCTCTGGACAGAAATGTAGGAGAAGCATTGTCTGGGGTCTAATTTCCTTTTGGTTCTTTCCTTCCAGACTGCAAATATACCTGCCACCAGGAATGCCGAAGCCTGATCCAACTGGACTGCAGTCATCAGCAAGGGCAGTCCCGGGAGAGAACGTCACCAGAAACCACCCTTGCCCCAAGCTTCAGCCAGGTAGGCACTAGAGACTTATGTAAGCTCTGGGTTTCAGCTCCAGGCAGTGGCACTAATTTTGTCTTTCAGATATTTTGGAAAGCAAGAGTTGGCTTGAAGGTTCTTCTGTTCAGCATCTCTGGTTACTGGGCTCACCCTTTCCACAATGGCAAATTGGGATCTTGGATGCCTGAAGATCTTGAGTGGATGGCAAGCAATGCCTTTGGTAATCCTTCAGAGAGAGAAAGAGAGGGAGAGAGAGACAGAGAGAGACAGAGACAGAGACAGAGAGAGACACAGAGAGAGACAGAAACAGAGACAGAGACACAGAGAGAGAGAGACAGAGAGAGAGACAGAAACAGAGACAGAGAGAGACACACAGAGAGAGAGAGAGAGAGAGAGAGAGAGAGAGAGAGAGAGAGAGAGACAGCTGTCTGATGCTACATGGATAACTTCAAGGACGAACCTTTTTGTCAGTTCACTTGTGGTCTAGAGACAGCCCTGCCTATATCAGAAGGATGTGGTAGGGGAATAACATCACAGATGTGAAAGTATTTTGAAAAAAACCTTAAAACATTCCTGTAACTATAAGGTGTTACCATAACACTGTGATTAAGGGCAAGTAACAAACCCTGAGAGAAAGAACAGCCTTGGGGAGGGGAAGTGGAGAGTGGGGAGCATTCATGATCCAAAAGAGAGTGTGGTGTCACGGTAAGTGTGCTGAGCTTGGAATGGTCCCAGCTCTGATACTAACAGGATCATAGCATTTAGAGCTGAAAAGGACCTTAGAAAACATAGTCCTACCATCCCATTTTAAAAATGAAGAAATTAAGACCCAAGGAAGTAGAAAGGGGGTAAAAAGAGCATCGAATCTAGAGAAAGATGATCTGTGTTGGAATCCTGGCTCTGCCACTTACCTGTCTATATGACCTTGGGCACATCATCTAACTCTCTGTGTCTTCTCTGTAAAGTGAGAGAGGTTGGTTTTTTCTACTTCTAAATCTGTGATCCTGGGATCATAAGTGATTTACTGAAGATCTCACAGGCAATAGGTAACAGAACCAGGATTGTTGGCTATGAGACCATGAGCAAAGTGCTTAACCCCTCTGAGCCCCAGCTTTCTCTCTTGGAAATGGAAATAATAATAGTACATTGCTATCTGTCTAATGAGTCTAGCACTGGTTGGGAGTATTTGGCTGAGGAGGGAACCAGCTATTCTCTCTCTCTGACTCCTACCTTTATTTTCCTCTTTCCCAGCTCTTCCCTTCATGTGTGAATTTCTCCTTAATCAATTCCCTCACTCCAGGGGGGCAGGGAATGGGGTACTCTTAAACTTGCTGTGGTGAGGCAAACCAGTGCCTTAGACTGAGTCACTGATGGCCTCCTTCCCGGCCCTTCTTCCCCCACCACTTACCAAATCTTCTTCCATCAGAAAATATTCTGTGTCCAAGAAGGGTCAGATTCATTTACTCTTCTCTGCGTTGAGGGACCTATAATAATATACATCATTGAAAAAACTCTTTTGCTCAGCCTGAACCCTGAGTTGGTCATTCCAGCAGTTAGACCCATGATCTATTTCTTTCTCTCCCCTTCTGTGTACCTGGCGAAGTATAGCCTCCTTCTAATCTGCATCAAAATCTTAGGGATGCATGCACTACATGTACACACACACACACACACACACATATACATACATACATACATACATACATACATACATGGTAAACACATATAGACATATCTACACACATAGACAATAAACACACACATATCTATACACACACATACACGTACGCTTCTTTTTTAAATTGTAAATAGTACTTCATTTTTTCCAATTACATGTCAAGATAATTTTCAACATTCATATTTTATAAGATTTTGAGTTCTAAATTTTTCTTCCTCTCTCCCTCCCTCCTGTCCTCCCTCCCCAAGATGGCAAGCAATCCAATACAGGTTATATATACATATCCACTTCTTACCCCCACCCTTAGACCTTTAAGGGTGGGGCTGAGAAGGAGAGTCTGTCATCAGTTTCATTCTCGGCCACATTCTCAGCTATGGGCATTTTTTTGCATCTACCCCAGGTGTTCTTTGCCTAGTTCTACTCCGGTATTTTCCCAGAATCTCACCCCTATGTGCCAGGGATCTCTGCTTGGTCTTATGCTGTTTAACCTTTGTAGCAATGACTTAAATACACTCATGAAATTTGGAGACCACACAAAGCTAGGAGGGCTAGTTACTCTGGGCCAGGCATGGGAGACACGAAGATGTCATGCTGGATGGATGACAGAAGAAATTTGGTAGGTTTGAGTTTGGGGCTGAATCTTCCAAGATGAAATTCAGTACTGATTGATATAAAGCCTAACACTTGGGTACAAAACATCAGCTTCACAAGTATAAGATAGGGGAGGCATGGCTAGAAAAGAATTATTCTGAAAAAGATCCAGGGGCTTTTAGTGGACCAAAAGCTTAATGAGTCTGCAGTTGGGGTGTGGCAGCCAGAAAGGCTGATGATGGATGCCCTTGGGCTATTTGAGGAGGGGCCCAGCTTCCAGGAATAGGGAGGAGATAGTGCCACTTTCCTCTTCAGTCCTGAGCACCAAGACATAGAGAAACTGGAGGGTCCAGAGAAGGGCATCCAGGATGCTGAAGGGCCTTGAGTCCATGTCATATGACAACAGGTGAGTGCGCGACCATCCACACTAGTTTCTGAGACCTTGCAGTGGTGACATGCCATTGTTTTTTTTTTTTGGATAGGATCTCTGTTTCATTCATGTAGGGTTCTGCAGGGAGGAAACTCCCTCTATCAATGCAGATGAGCACCTGCTCTGCAAATTATCATTTTAGAATGTTCCCGGGAGGCTTACAAGTTCAGTGTTTTGTTGTTTTTTTTTCAGGCGTTTAAGGTTAAGTGACTTGCCCAGGGTCACACAGCTAGTAAGTGTCAAGTGTTTTGGTCTGAGGCCAGATTTGGACCTAGGTCTCCTGACTTCAGGGCCGGTGCTCTTTCTATCCACTGCGCCACCTAGCTGCCCCGACAGGTTCAGTGATTTACCTAGGGTTGCACAGCTGTTATGCCAGGGACGGGATTTGAACCCAGGTCTTCCCAACTCTGAGGCCTACTCTTTATCCACATTGCCTCTCATATGACTTGACCTATTACCAAATAAATACATTTGGGTCCCTATTTCTGTCTCCCAGGTTTGTAAGTTGATGTTATCCTCAATTCCTCACCCCTCATCTTACATATTTATTGGGGGCCAAATTTTGCAGTGTCCACACACACACATTCCACCCAGGGTCAGGAGCTGGGGAGGGCCTGGGCTGAGCAGCGGTAGCTTCTGATCTCAAGGGACCAGACAGGCAGATGAGCAGAGTAGAGGACAGGCTCAGCTGGAGATAGAAGGCCCGAGGTCAGAGGCAAGGTCATGCCTCACCTGATGCTGGAGATCAGGGAAGGTGGAGACATTTTCTTCCTAAATTCTCTATCTTTCCAGAATGTTCTCCCTTCTCATCTCTGCTGCCTAGTTTCTCTGCCTTCCTTCAAATCCCACCTTCTACAGGAAGCCTTTTTTGACCCTCTTAATTCCAGTATCTTTCCTCGGCTAATTATTTCCTATTTATCTTGTTTGCCTGTTGTCTCTCCCGTTAGATTGTGAGCTCCTGGAGGCAGGTTCTGCCTTGTGCCTTTTTTTATGCCCCAGCATTTAGCTCTGTGTGTGACACAGAGAATGCTGATTGATGAACATCTCTTGCATCTGACCCCTTTCCTCTGTACTCTCATAGCTACCACCTTAGTTCAGGCCCTCATTGCCTCTCTGCTGAACTGTAGCAGTGGCCTCCTAATAGGTCTCCTTGCCCCAATGCCCTCCCCATTTCAGTCATTCCACACTGCTGCCAAAGTGCCTTTCTTTCATCACAGATCTAGCCACGTATGATTCCATCACTCAGTAAACTCCAATGGCTTCCTTTTACCTTTAGGGTCAAATTTAGCTTTGAAAGCCTTTCACCAATGGATTTTCCAGTCTCTATCCATTATTCTTCCCTTCCTCCCTCCTTTCCTCCTCCATCCAGACAACCTGGACTCCTCTCTGATCCTTACACCCAACACTCCACCTCCTACCTCCATAGATGTTAATGGAAGTGATGGAGAGACCACCCTTCTGTGATTTGGAATGGGGCTGTGGCAGTGGCTTTTAGCTTGGTCCCCAAGTCCTCACAAGCTTGAGGAGAGTATATGGCTAGAGGATTTTTTTTTTTTTGGACTACACCTATGATTTTACTGGTGTAAGGGACTCTGTGTAAGGAAACTATTAACGTAGCACATCAGCCCCTTCTCAGCAATTTAGCATGTGCATTTGTCATGTGATTTGTCTAGGGCTGACATCACCCGAATGTGTCAGAAATGAGACCTGAACCCAGATCTTCCTAGTTTATCTCTATCCCAGGCCATGTTGACTCAAAAATTATGATAAAAACAACAAACAACAATATTGATATTAATTCACATTTATATGGTATTTTAAGGATTCTAGGCCAGCTCTCTATCCTCGAAGCCACTTGATAAATTATAACACAATTATAGCGCCAATATTAATTATGACAACAATATCAATAATCCTTTATATTTCCATAGCACTTTAAGATTTTGGAAGTGTTCCTCACCATCATGCTGGGAAGTAGGGTAGTGCAAATATTATTTCTCCCATTTTACAGATCAGGAAACTGAAGCTAAGAATGTTTAGGTGGCTTTCTTAGTTTCCTGTTGTTGTAATTGTAAGAGACAGGATTTGAACTGAGGTCTTTTGACTCTAAGACCAAGGCTGCTATCCTTATGAGACACTATTCTTGTCTCATTTGCCACTTGGAAGAGTTGATACCATCACCTGTACTGCAGGATAACCTGAGAGCATTGGGTGTGGCTGGGAGATTTCTCCCCTCTCCTTCTCCTGCAGGATTCCAGAGACAGAATTGCAGAAGAGACCCAGAGCTCTGAAATCCAGAGTTCTGGAATGTAGCCA